TCTTCTTTACTCATATGTCTGGCACTGTGTTGCTTTCTGTGTGGCCTCTCTCTCCAGCAGAATCCACCTGGACTTCTCACTTAGCAACTAAGGGCTTCCAACTGGCAGGAAGCTGAAACAGCCCGTCTTGGTGAAGCACAGCGCCACTGCTGCATTAGCCGGAGCACCCACAGCTAGCCCAGGTTCACGGCAATGGAGGGACAGATGCCACCTCTCCATGCAGGCAGGGAGGGAGGCATCCATAGCAGCCCCCAACACATCCAAGAAAAAAAATTCAAGGGGAGGTTTTAAGCAGAGAAATGACATGACATGTCCTGTTTTAGCAGAATGCCTGGCCAATGGTGTGGAGAGTTTTCATGCCAGGCTTCTCCTGTTGTTTGTTGACCACCCTCCTGGCCTTTCCCCTCCCCACTCTCCCCTTCCACTCTGACCAAGAGTCAGGACCGAGCCCCGCCCCTCGGGCACTGCCCTCTGTGCATGTGCTAAGAAGGTGCACAGAGTATGTGCTGAGATGGTGCACACAGCAGGTCTCGGGGAGGAAGTGCCCTTATCTGGCATCTGCCCAGTCCCAAAGACTCAGTTTTCTATAATTGGGATGGCCACTTGAATAGAGAAAGGTAGAAAGAAGATTGCAGAAGAGTCTGGAAGAGTTTCCTGCCTGGATGTCTCTTCACTGTCCTCTGGATCCCATGTCCCGCTGGTTAATGGTGGCAATGCCAGCACTGTGAATAGGAGGTGAGGAGGAGCTCTGGGTTCTTCTTACTCCCCTGTGTGGCCCTTTCTGGTGCTGCTGTGAGTACCACTCCAGGGGGCACCATTCATACTGTGTCTGTTTCCACCAGGAGAGTTTCCTCCTGGCAGCCTAACTTCTACTCTTCCTCTCTTTCTCTAATGGGTGCCACACCTACTTTGGAACAATCTGAACAGCCATAAATAGGGACTCCAGATTCAGGAATGCAGAGGCTTCATGTAGCAAGCATCCGAGGTTCCATCCCATCCAGCCAAGAAGATGCTAATCACTGGCCGCCACTCTGCAGAGCTGTCCTGTCCTCACTTTCGTGGTGTGTGCACCAAGGAATTGCTGGGCAGCTTTCACTGGCAATGAGGGAGGGCCCCAGTGCCTGGATACCAAGATCTGGGCTCTGGATGCCCTTGCCATCTCACCCTGACTAAAAGGAGCTAGAAGGGTATTGTGCTGGACCAAGGGAGGCCAGTGGCTCCAGCTGAGAGGTGGACAGCAAGAAGCCCACCAGGCTGGCAGCACAGCAAGGAGAACTGGCTGACACAGACCAGCCCCATAGGTGGGCCAGTTATCACCTCCCAGATGCTAGTCACCGAGCTCTCAGGTGGCAGCAGACACAGTGGTTCAGAGCGTGGGTTTTGGAGTCAGTTGGCTTGGGTTAAAATCCTACTACTGTTCTTTCTGTTGGCAAGGTTTCCCCTTCCCCCACTAGGAGCCTCAGTCTTCTTATCTGTAGAGTGGGTTTACTTCCCTGGATGATAATAAGGATTAGTGAGATAGAGTTTGTATGCGCTCCTTCCATGGCTGTATTAAAGAATTATGATTGCATGGCTTTCTAGCAACTGCTCCCAGTAGCCTGACCCCTAAGCTCTTGCCTTTCCTTCCCTTTTTATCTTTACTCCTTTTCCCTGGGCCAGCCACCCAAGGGGGTATGGAATCTTCCAGTGACAACATCACTCCCTCCCAGGGTCACCTCAAATGGTTAATTCAGTGGGAGATGTTTTTAATGAAGGGCATAGAGTGTTGTCTGCATTGTCCCATCCGAAGGCTGGGACAGCCACCTGGAGCCTTGGGAGCCTTTTTATCCTGGAAAGTCTATGAATTCGTGAAATCCACATTTCTGTCATTACAGGGCCACCACAATGGGCAAGAAGTGCCTCATGGAGAGACCGCAGTGTTCTGTGCAGTCCTGAGTATGATACCACCAGGGGGCGCTGCCCAGCTGGTCGCTGCCCCAGTTCTCAGCAAGGCTGAGGAAGGCAGAAGTGAGAGCCCTTGGAAGGGAGACAGGTTTGACCCTTCCGCTGGTGAGGTGTGGACAGCCAGCCTGGACCTGGAAGGTCTGTAACCTGGCAGACTGACAATGGCAATGGCGGGGACTCCATGTCAATTGGCCTCTTTACAATTTGCTACCTGTTCCGGCACATACCATTTCATATCAAGACTCATAAGATGATGCCCAGATAGTAAACAGAGGCTCAGAGAGGTCAGGGAGCTGCCTAAGGTCACACAGCTGGTGAAGGTCCCTCTGGACTTGCCTTTTTCCAAATCCGGGGCCCTGGCATTTGGCCAGCGGAGAGGCAGCATGGTGAGGGGAAGGAGCCTGTCTGGCCTGTAGTCTGGCTTGCAGCCCGGCTCTACCTCCACCCTGCGTGGCTGGTCATTCCTATCCAATCCCTTCCCCTCCTTCTGCCCCATGGGATCTCAGTGATCTTCTCCTCTATTTGGGGGAAATTGGCACAGGGCTCAGGGTCAGTACGAGTGGATCCCTTGGTATTCAACCAAGATGTGATTTTCCCAGACACAGCTTGGCCTCTTTATGGACAAAATTCAATCCTGCTAGAGAATTCTCACATCCCCTAACTGGCCATGGGCACCCCAGTCTTCAACTACACCCAAGTCTGGGATGCAAGGGGGCCTGGGCAGCTGGCTAACCCAGGATGCCCCAGGTCACCATTCCCTAGACTCTAGGCATCATGCCAAATGCTGCACATGCAGCCTGTGAGTCTTCACAGCCCTGTGAGGCACGATGTCATTCACCCCATTTTACAGAGGAAGATACTGAAGCTCAGAGAGTGCCTGAGCAGCTCTGTAGAAGGGGCATCGTTTTTCCTCCGTCTCTGCCACTGACTAGCTGGATGCACAAGAGGATTGACTCTGCAGACAGGACTGTAAAGGGCACAAGGGCTGTTAGTCCTTATCAGAGGCTTCCTGAGCACCAGGCTTTAGAGACAGGGAGGAAGACAAGAGTGTGCCTTTGAGGAATGCACAAGCCCAGGAGTTCCAAAAGGGCTGCAGCGCAGGTTAAGTTGCAGCAGGACTTAATGAGCAAGCATGTGCAGAGGCCAGCAAGAACAGCTGGAGGCTGTGGTAAGCAGGGAAGGTTCACAGGAGGAGCAGGGCCGGAGCCGGTCATCAAAGGGTGAGGAAGAGTGTGCTTTGCAAAGTGGAGACCTGGGAGGAAAGGCCAGGACTTTAGGGTTCGAGGTTGAGCAGGGAAATGACAGGAGAATGAGGGCTTCTCTCTGGGGGCACACCCTTGGTCTCCAGGACAGAGATAAGGTGCAGGAAAACACAGGTGTCCTGGGAAGGGGGTCTCTGGGAACACATGCTTTATGATGCTGGCACCCACCTTGGTGGGAAAATGAGATTTTGCATTTACTATAGTCAGAAAACCATGTGCCTTAGTGTGTGTCTGTGTGTGTGTGTCTATGTTTGAATCCTTATGTCAAAGTCCTTTGACATTCATGATCTCTTTGTCCTTTCTCAGCTACCCTGAGAAGTTGGCTGGACAGAAACATCCTCAAAGACAGAAAAGAAGAGCCCCGGTGGAAGGAAATGTCTTGCTCATAGCCATGGGGCTCCAGAGTTGAAAAGCCAAGGCCCAACCAGGGCTCCCGGCCCAGCTCCATGTTCCAGCCCCTGAAGCTTTGCCCAGACCCCCATCCCACCTCCCAGCACCTCACATGCTTCAAGCCACCCTGCCATCTGCCTCCTCCACCCCTGCACATTCTCTCTTGGAGGAGAGAGGCACTCCAGTGTGAGCCCTTGTGTTTTCATCAGAGTTCAAGGCCAGGGTCAAGGGTCCATCTTCTCCCAAACCACCTTGCTGGCTTTTAGTGCCCAGCTTCCTTAAGAAGCAACAGCCACAGAAAAAGGACCAGCAAAGAGTGAAGCCCTGTTCTGAGCCTCAGAAGGAAGCAGCTAGGAGGTGGTCCTCTAGTGAGGACGTGTGAAGGGGCTACCAGTTGGATCCCTTCTTTCCAGAATCTTCAGTGGAGTGGCACAGAGGACTGAGGGTCTGGGGGGTAGATCTCTGCCCCTTGCCAATAAACGTGGGCTTCTGCCAAGCTGTCGCCTGGTGCCAGGCACTGCTCTGAGTACCCTGTGCATACATGCTCTTCACAGCTGCCTAGCGGGGGGGAAGGTATGATTATGACCCACATTTTACAGGTGAGGAAAGGGAGGCACAGAGAGGTTAAGTGACCTTCCCAATGTCACACAGTGAGTGGCAGAGCTGCGGTTTGAGGCCAGGAAGTCTGCCTCAAGGAGCTATTTTGCCTCGATAAATAATAATAGTAACAACCACAGCTTCCATTTGACGACCCCTTCCTATGTGCCTGGTGCTTTACCTTCCTCAGAGCAATGCTGTGACTTAGACGTTGATGTTTTCCGAATTTCTAATTTCATAGATGAGTAAATCCGGGCTTAGCAGGGCGCCTGGTGTGAGGTGACTGCAGAGGCTCACAGACGTTAGGTCTGCCTAAATCCGAAGCTTCCACCCTCCTCTGCCTCTGTGACTTGCTGTGTGACTTTGGAGCTTTCAGAGATTCAGTTTCCCTGCCTTAAGTCCTCTGCTCCTTTTGCTTTCCCGCTCCAGCAAGTGAGAGTGGACTGGGCTGCCGCGCGGGTGAGGGTCGGGCAACTCTGGAGTTCCCCCTTCCCCATCGGACCCCGCAGAAGTCCCCGCTCCCCCAGTTTTCTGTTGCTTGGCGAATTGGGGCAGAGGGACCGGCGGGGAGGTACCGGGTGGGCCAGGTTGGAGCTGTGTCACCGAAAGGCCGACGAGGCCGGGGAGAGAAGGCCCTGCTGTGATTTGGGGAAAGGCCAAGGGGCCCCTAAATCACGTGCTCGGGGCGGCTGTGCAGGAGCGGATGGTCCTCTGGGAACCCAGAAGTGCCCCAGACTTGAGTAGGGGCGGGGAGGGAGAGCCGGAGGAGGCAGGTTCTGGGCCGAGGGGATGGGGGTGGGGGGAGGCAGGGAGCACGCGGACAAAGGAGGCGGCCGGCGGCCCAGCTGTTTTGAAAAATGCTTCCTGTTTCTTTAAAGGCGCTCGCGGCTCGGGCGGCCGGGGCTGGGGAGGCGGTGGCGGCGGGAGCTGCCTCCTCTCCGGGCGGCGGCGCTGACTGATCTCGCGAACTGGGCTTCTGTGTAAACTGAGGCTAAACAAACACAGATGGAGCGCAGCGGGCGTTCTCCAGAAATGCTGGCAAGGCGGCAGCGACTTCAGATGACACTCTGAGCGCTCCGGGAACGGACAACCCGGCGGCTTCGCGGAGCCGGCCGCGCAGCTGCCCCGGGCGAGGGGGAGAAAGGGAGAGCGGGAGGGGGAGGCGGGCGAAGGGGGAGAGCCAGAGACTCCTCGGCGCTGAGCGCGGCGGCGGCCCGGGCAGCCCCCCGCCCCTGCCTCGCGCGCCGCCCGCGCCATGAAGCATATCCCGGTCCTCGAGGACGGGCCGTGGAAGACCGTATGCGTGAAGGAGCTGAACGGCCTCAAGAAGCTCAAGCGGAAAGGCAAGGAGCCGGCGCGGCGCGCGAACGGCTATAAAACTTTCCGATTGGACTTGGAAGCGCCCGAGCCCCGCGCCGTCGCCACCAACGGGCTGCGGGACAGGACCCACAGGCTGCAGCCGGTCCCGGTCCCGGTCCCGGTGCCGGTGCCAGCCCCAGTGGCGCCGGCCGTTCCTCCAAGAGGGGGCGCGGACACAGCCGGGGAGCGCGGGGGCTCCCGGGCGCCTGAGGTCTCTGACGCGCGGAAACGCAGCTTCGCTCTGGGCGCAGTGGGGCCAGGACTCCCCACGACGCCGCCGCCGCCGCCTCCTGTGCCCCAGAGCCTGGCACCTGGGGGCCCAGAGCCACAGCCTTTCCGAGAGCCGGGTCTGCGTCCCCGCATCTTGCTGTGCGCACCACCCGCGCGCCCCACGCCGTCCGCGCCCCCAGCGCCGCCCGCGCCCCCGGAGTCCACAGTGCGCCCCGCGCCCCCCACGCGCCCTGGGGAAAGTTCCTACTCGTCAATTTCACACGTAATTTACAATAACCACCCGGATTCCTCCGCGTCGCCTAGGAAACGACCGGGCGAAGCGACTGCCGCCTCCTCGGAGATCAAAGCCCTGCAGCAGACCCGGAGGCTCCTGGCAAACGCCAGGGAGCGGACGCGGGTGCACACCATCAGCGCAGCTTTCGAGGCGCTCAGGAAGCAGGTACCAGCTCCCCGCCGCAAGCCCTCACTGCGCCCGGGGACCACTGCCGGAATGGGTGGGCGAGTGGCCGGGCCGGGATAGAGATGTGTTTAAGGGGCAAGCTGCCCAGCCCAGTCCGACCCTGGGGGGCCCAGACAGATGTGGGCAGCCTGGGGCAGTGACTTTGCCACAACGTTGGTATGGATCATAGTTTTCAAAGTGGAGATAAATGCTGGAGGTCTCTGGCCCGAGCACCTCACCCCCAACGCCCGCCCTCAATCCCCGCCTCGGGGGTAAAGCTGTCTGCGCGTCTGACTTCAGCCTTCATAGTTCACTTTTATGGCAGCGAGTATTTGCCTGCCGGAGTCCCCTGGGTGCGGTGCGGAGTGGAGAGGGGAAATATGGGAATCTGTCTTGGTCCCGGGAAAAAGGGGGCGACCCTTCTCCAGGCATTTGGCATGGTCGGGGTCTTGGCTCCCTGTTGGTGGTGGTGAGGCCAGGAACGCTGCGGCGGGGCAGTCCGGGGGAGCTTGTCAGCCCCTTTTCAGCCCCCAGCTCTCAGCAGTGATGCCCCATTCAGGTTGCTAACGGGCTATGCACCCCTTGCCCTGGCATCCTCAAGAACCCGCGGTACAAGCCTGTGCCCTCTCCTCAGGGGTGGCCTTAGGAATGAGCTGGTGGGAGTCTTTCCCTGAGATCCCTTCCTTTCATCCTGTGGTGAAGCAAGCAACCGTGCTGAGGGGAGCGCCTAGTTGGGGAATTTTCTCTGGAGCATCTTCAGAGCCTAGTTCTGGGGTGAGTTGGGGACTTTTTAGTTTGGGGCTGGTGAGGGCTGCCCTCACCAGACAGTGCCCCTGAGCAGGTAGAGGAAGAATGCTTAACCCGAGAATTACCCGTGGTGGGGCGGGACCGTTTACAATTCCACTTTAGACAAGATTGGCACTGGCTTGGGCTTCTAGGCTTCTTATTTTCTTAGTGAGAAGGGGCTCTAGGAAGGAGGTGGTGAGTTCTCTCCCACCCGACACAGGGCTCAGAGAAGGGTTAGGGTAGATGTGGCTAATTCGCAATGTGTGTGTTTTTTTGTTTTGTTTTGTTTTGTTTTATTTTTTGCATGCTCTACAGCTTACTTGCTGTGTGACTCCAGGAATTTTGCTCAACTTCTCTGAGTTTTAGCCAGCAACAAAACATTTCAGAAACCATGATCTTGTTTTTGGATCACTCTCCTCTTCCTCCTGTTGGTTGGGGTGGGGTGGGGCAGTAGTGCCTGTGTCTACCTATGGAAAGGATATTGAATCCCTGGGGGAAAGAGGCCCTATGACTTTTGAGCAAAAGTGTTTTTTGCTTGGGCTTGGGGAAAGTGGTGAGTGAGGTGGGGTGGGGGCGGGGGTCAGGTGGCTGTCACAGATCAGGCTGGGCCTCTGCCCTCAGCCATACCAGCTGGAACCCTGGGCAGTGGGCCCAGTGGAGCAGTCAGTCCTACCCTGAGCCAGCAGCTCTGTGCCTGCATTGCTGGGTAGGGGCAGCAGTGCTTGGGGGATCCTGCAACGCACTCTCCAGGACAGAAGGGTAACAGAAGGGCAGAGATGCCTGTCCACTTGCCCACCTTGCTACTAGGGAAGCAGCTCCTAGACTGGGGAGGCATGTACCCAGATCCTCACAGTTGGTGAATAACAGGTCGGGGCTGGCACCTAGGGCTTTTGACTGCTGGTTCTGGGCCCTTCTGCCCCTCTGCTGCCTCTCTGCGTGCTGAGAGAATACTCACCTGAGTGTTCTGTTACATCTCATGTGCCCACTGGCTTTTACTTCATTCAACAATCAATTCCATCTCATTTGATCTAAACAACATGCCTGTCAAAATTGGATTAACTCATTTTATAGTATGGAACCCTGAGCCCCAGGGATGGAAGGAGACTTGTCCCAGATCACCTAGTGGGTTAGGAAAGATGACAGCAGTTTCTGGAATGCCCTCTGGCCAAATGCTTCCCTCAGTGCCATCTGTATCAGCATCATGTGCTCCCCTCAACCCCCAGCAGGATGTTTGTTAACAATCAAGGCAGGGTGTACACTTGGCCAACCCTTTGAAATGAGATTGTTCATCCTGGTCTCCTTTTAGTTACCCCCATTCCCTCGGGAAGTTCTCTATAAAAAGGGCAAGTTCAGCGTGTCTAAGCAGAAGACAAACCCATAACCTCTCAGGGAGAGAGTATGTATGCAATGCAAACACTCATGCAGGTACACACACACACACTCCTTGCACGTGCTCAAAAGCACACACAAATGCACGGTCACAGAATCGCCTGTTCCTGTTGGTTTCCTCCTTGCCCAGCCATTCTGTCCCTTCCCTAGAAAGGCTGCCAGGCCATAGTGGGCACCTCTCTGTTAGCTGGGAAGGAAAGAAATACGGCCAGGACATTTCTGGTCATATAGCCAGGGGCCAAGGCCACACTCACCATGCTCCCCTCACCACCATGGCACCCATTCAATGGAGGAAGTCCTGTGTTCTGGAGGAGCCCCTTCCTCCTCTGGGCCTCAGTCTTCTCCATAAAACGTACTCCCCACCCCCGCCCCCAATCCAGATGAGCTGTAGCTCTGGAGCTAGCCTTGGGCCTGACTGTTTGAAATGGGCCCTTGGAAAGTGGCAAAAGGCGGGAGATCAGCTCTGCCTGAAATGGGGCCTTGGCCAGTGTGGCACTGAGTTGGGTTCTGGGATCGTGTCTCTGGCCTGAGGCTTCATTCTTCTGAGAGCTTCCTGGAACCATGAAAGATGCACTGACCTGGGAACCTGGAGGCCTGGCATTGAGTTGTGTCTCCTCTGCATGCCTTCTGTGTGGCCGTGGACAAGTCACTGGCCTTCTCTGCGCCTCAGTTGCTGAAGCTGTAGAATGGTAATATCACTGATCTCATCCACAGTGTTGAGAAGAGCAAATGAGGAAAGAAGGAGACCTATAAGAGCAGTGAACATTTCCTTCCTTCCTTCCTTCCTTCCTTCCCTCCTTCCCTTCCTGCCTGCCTGCTTTCTTTCTTTCTTTCTTTTTCTTTCTTTCTTTCTTTCTTTTTCTTCTTTTCTTTCTTCCTTTCCTTTCTTTCTCTCTCTCCTTCCTTCCTTCCCTCCTGCCTTCCTCCCTTCTCTCTCTTTCTCTCTTTCTTCCTTCCTTCCCTTCCTCCCTCCTTCCTTCCCTCCCTCCCTCTCTCCCTCCCTTCCTTCCTTCCTTCTAGACAGAGTCTCTCTCTGTCACCCAGGCTGGAGTGCAGTGGTGCGATCTCGGCTCACTGCAACCTCCACCTCCTGGGTTCAAGCGATTCTCCCACTTCAGCCTCCTGAGTAGCTGGGATTACAGGTGCACACACCACCACGCCTGGCTAATTTTTTGTATTTTAGTAGGGATGGAATTTCAGCATGTTGCCCAGGCTGGTCTCTAACTCCTAAGCTCAGGTGATCCACCTGCCTTGGCCTCCCAAATTGGTAGCATTACAGGCATGAGCCCCACGCATAGCCAGAACAGTGACCATTTCTTATGCAGCTCCAAGGTCCTCAGGGCTGGGCAAAACTCTCGACAGATGAAGCAATAAGAATTCTTTAATCGTTTTACTAACTATCAGAGACACTAGCATTTATCACATGCTTACTTTGTGCCAGGCACGGTTCTAAGCCTGTTATGTATATTAGTTCATTTAATGAAATAGATGTTGTCATGATCACACCCCCTGCCCTGTTTCATGGATGGTGACACTGAGGTTCAGAGAGCTTATGTAAGTTGTCCCGGTCTTTTGCCACTGCACGTGGCCTTGTGGGTTTTGTGCTACACCCTACCTTGGCCAGACTCCAGGGTGGCGGTGCCTCGCAGCAGTGCGGAGCTATGTGCCACTGCTGCTGCTGTGGCGCTTGGGTTGGACTCTCAGGGCCTCGACTCCTAACGGCTCTGCTCCTCAGCCTGTCTGATGTCCTGGCGCCATCCATCCTCAGCATGAGGAAGCCAGACAGGCTCCCACTGTGTCATAATCCACTGTCCTCTCAACCAGGAAGGGAGCAGGGAGGGTGGCTGCATGGCCGCAGGTGGGAGGTGCAGGTGGGAGAGAGGCCCTCCAGTCTGGGCTGGATGGTGCGGGGCAGATGGTCTGGCCGAAGCACATGCCACCAGTGCAGCTGCACCAGAGCCCTCCCTGCCGCCTCATGTGAAGGCCATGTGTGCACAGCTGGCCTGGCCCGGGAGTGGGCTGCTCCCTGCCAGGTGGGAGGGGTCAAAGGGAAAGGCTGGCCTTGTGGGGTGGTGAGGGAAGGGGCCAGAGTGGCAGGACCTTCTGTCTCACAAGCTGTACCCACCCTTGGGGCATCTGGTGTGCATGTGGATTTCCTTTCTCCCCTCAAAGGCCCTCAGCACTGATGGAGGATGGCTGCAATGGAAGGCAGTGTGGGGCCCCAGGTTCTGCCGTGGTCCTCTCCACTGACGATATGCCAAGCAGTTGGGGCCCAGGCCACCTCCCCTGCTGCCCCTGGAGCCTCCCAGGGGGTCCTCATTGAGTGAACTCAGGGTGGCCCTGGAGGGGGTGTGGGAATGGTGCCCCAGCACATTCCTCACTCTTAAACTCCACAGAGTGCAAGGGGGACGTGGGGGGTGCAGAGAAGCCTGCACACCATCCCCTCAGCCAATGAAGGACAGGCCTGCTTGCACTAGGGCTCCATGCAGACAGGTAAAGATGACAAAGGTCTTCCTCGTGTTCCATCGTGTCCACAGTCACCAGGGCGGCTGCTCCTGCACTGAGTGAGGCCTGACCTGAGCCTGCTGTGGGAGGTCCGAAGTGCTGTCTTCCCATGTTACAGATGAGGACGCTTATGGAGAGGTGAAGCAGATGGCTCAAGGCCACAGGATCTGTACTCAAGCCTGTCTGGCCCTGGAGCTGTAGCTCTTAACCACCCAGACCTAGGTTCTCAGGGTCCAGCCTGCTGGCTGTGCAGGAGGTTGAGAGTTTTTTGTTTTTGTTTCTTTTTTTGAGTCAGAGTCCCACACTCTCTCCCAGGCTAGAGTGTAGTGGCATGATCTCAGCTCACTGCAACCTCCACCTTCCAGGTTTACGTGATTCTCCTGTCTCGGCCTGCCGAGTAGCTGGGATTACAGGCGCCCGCGACCACACCGGGCTAATTTTTTGTATTTTTAGTAGAGACAGGGTTTCACTATGTTGGCCAGGCTGGTCTCAAACTCCTGATCTCGTGATCCACCTGCCTCGGCCTCCTAAGGTGCTGGGATTACAGGCGTGAGCCATTGCGCCCGGCGAGGTTGGGATTTTAAAGGACCTGTTTAGGTAGACTTTGGGAAGGACACTGAACAGCTCTGGGTAGAGTGGCTTCACATCGGAAATCCAGCGCTCACTGATACGAGACGACCAGATGATCATTTCAGTGGAATCTGATGCTCGTCTGTGTGTAGTGGGCGTAGTGCTGCTGGAGCCCTATGGGCTTCCGGGAGGGCATCTTGGGCTGGGTCTGAAGGGTGGGCCGGAGTTGGCACAGAAGCAAGAGTGCAGAGGGCTTTAAGACCTTTTCTGCATTCTCTGGTAGGTTCTCGGCATTGTTTCTTTGGGAAGCTTTCCCACATTTGCACCTGTGATCTCATTCTGAGGTAGCAGATGTTCTAATGCCCATTTCACTAGTGAGGAAACTGAGGTCATATAAGCTTATGGACCTGTCTAAGGTCACGTGGATGGCCAGGGGTGGAGCCAGGCCCTCGGGCTCCCAGGCCAGTGCTCTTCGTGTTTTTTTTGCATGCTGGAACTGGGTCCAGCTTAGGGTGGGTTGGGTGGAAGGTTTCGGGGGCATATGGGACCTTGTGAAAATTCCAAAGTCTATTCCTTCAAAGTTGAAAAATCCTTTTGGGATGAGCGCAAGGCAGATCCTTTGACTTTCCTGGAAGTTGGGCAGTCTGTCGGGAGTGGGAGCCGGGTAACTCTGCCTTCTTCTTTGGCCTGTGTCCCCTGACCAGGGTGAGCAGACAACTGCTGTGGGGGCCTCTGTAGGCAATGGTGGTGGGTGGGCTCTGGGCCTTGCTGTGGATGCTCTAAGAGGGATCTCATGGCATCATCAGCCCAGGACTCTCCATCCCCAGCTCAGGAGGGTGGGCTGCCTACCTCCCCACCTTAAGCTATTGACACTTATTCAGATCCCCAGACAGTTCCTGCTGGCTAACTGGAAAGAGCCCAGCTAAGCCACCAGTTCAAAACCCAGCTCATCACTCACCAGCTGAGAGATCCAGGAAATTCCTACATGCCTGAGAGACACATGCTTTGCTGTAAAGTGGAAGTGATCATTTCTACCCCACTGGGCTGCTTAAAAGATGAATACGGACATTGTATTTGAAATGCTCACCCTCTGCCTGGTCTTAATAGATCATAAGAACCACAAGGTGGCCTGGGCCCAGCAGTCACGGGGAATCTATGCTGCTCAGACTCTGGCGGGAGATGCTCGATGTAGTCCTCGAAGCCCTGTGAGCCGCCCGGGCATTGCTACCCCAACTTTCCAGATGAGGAAACGGGGGCTCCAAGGAGTGAGGGCACTTCCCAAAGTCACACTGCTTGTAAGTGCCTGGAATTCAGAGCAGCTCTTTCCACCATATCTTGACATTCCAGAGCCAGAATGGGTAGTAGATTCTCACTTTGTGGTGACAGCCCAGGCTGGGGTGCCTCTGAGCTGGGCTGTTGGGAGCTGAGGGGCCGCATCCTGGGGCATGGGTGCCAAGAGGATCTGGAATTGGCTAGGTGGTGAGGAGCTGCCCGTGGGGTTGGGGAGGAGGAGAGGTGAACAACCTGAAAGAGGCCTTTGGTGTCCGGGATATGGCTACCTCTGGTGTGGTGGGAGCTGAGAGAGCCTACTGGCCATGTGCCTGGTGTCAGTCAGATGAGTGATCTGGGGCCCAATATGTCACCTCTCTGTGTTTGTGTGTACAGATGGTGGGGAAGGTTTTGAGTGGGCTAACACTACCTGTAAATAGCTACTGCAGTGGCAGATATACAAGAGCTCAATGCACGGGTTTCTTCTTGTTAGACCTGGAACTTGACAGAAACAATAGGCAAGAAACATATCTAGGAGAGAACTGGCCCAGAACCTGGCATGGGAGCCCCTAGGCTGGCCTTGGCCTCAGCCATTGCTTTGTGGTCCCACAGTGACCCTGGATCACGGTGTACAGATCCCTTCCAAAATCCCTGCTCCCTCCTGGAAGCCCAGCTGTTACAGGCCAAGGGCTCAAAGCGCTGGGCCTTTAAGAGAAACTCCTAGCATGGCCTGTGTGTGAAAGTAGTGCTGAGGGCTGTGTCCTAGAGCTACACCCAGTCCCCAGAGCCCCCCTGACTGCTACACCCTCCCTGGGGTGAAGAGGAGGCAGCAGTGCTGGCCGGCCCCTGAGACCCCCTTCCCTGCCCCAGGACTGCCAGACCTTGTTTATTTGTTCAGGCTGATAAAGCAGGATTCCCTGGACTCGGGCTGGGAACGAGCAAAGTGCATTGTTCTGCCAGCATTTCTGGGATGGGTTTGGAGCTGCGGCCAGGGCTGGGAGTGGGAGATGGGGTGAGGGGTGGAAAGCATGGGAGTTAGCTTTCTCTGTTGCCTTCCTCTCCCTCTCTGGGTTTCCGAGTCTCAGCACCCCCAGAGGGTGGAGGGTAGTACAGGCACGTGTCCTGGCTCTTCACCTGCTCTGGAGCCTGACTTTGGGGACCTTCTGTAAAACCAACCATAATACGTTCACAGACCTCTATCAGGCCTTACTTTATGCAATGCATGCATCATCTCATTTAATCCTTACCACCTTGTGAGGTCAGTCCTGTTCCCGATATGACGAGCAAATGAGGCTCAGAAAGATTCTGTCCCTTGTCCAGAGTCTTACAGCTAGACAAAGCTAGAGCCAGGAGTTGAACCCAACCAACAAAAAGGTACGTGTGCTTAGCTTTATGCCAAATAGCTACATCTTCATCATCAGAGAGAGGAAAAGTGTTTGAGCCCAGTTCAAAATATTCTGGAGTGAAGATCCAGAGGGAGATCATTCATTTGTTCACTCATTGCCTCAATCAACAAACCCTTTTGAAGGCCTGTTATGGGCAGGACCTGTGCTAGGCTCTGCAGACACGGGCCTTCCACCCACAGTTCATAGGAAGACTGACCACTAAAGTGCCAGAGTGTGGGCAGTTATGGCCAGACGGGGTGCTATTAAGGCCCTATGAAGGGCAAGCTGTCCTTCCTGGTGTAGGGTAGAGGTGGGGCGGTCAGGGAAAACTCTTGGACGCAGTGAGGTTTAAAGTGAGATCAAAGTGGGTGATGTGTTAGGGTCCCCAGTCTCGGGTGACTGTCTTGTTCATGCTTTTCCTCCAGCCTCTGGAATAGGGATTTCCGTCCTTGGCACTATTGACATTGAGGGCAGGTAATTCTCTGTTGTGGGGGCATTGTGGGATACTGTGCGCTGTAGGCTGTTTAGCCACGTCCCCACCTCTGTCCCCGCAATGCTCCCACTCCCCCGAGGTGGAAAGCAGAAATGTCTCCAGAGATTGCCGACTGTCCCCTGAGGGATAAAACCATGGCTGGGTGAGAATCACTGGCCTGGAAGAGTGCTTGGCATATTTCAGGGAGCTCATTAAATACTTGTGTGGATGCATCGTGCCGTCCCACCTGCTATAGGATAGGGTTCGTCAGTGATATGGATGCCACGTGTAGATCCTGAAGAGCCACAGCGAGGAGAAAACCCGGAGCCACGGTTGCTGGGTTTTTAGCCCTTTAGGTGAACAGTGCATTATAGGAACATAGGGTCTGTTAGTATCTATCAGGTTGATTTCGTGAAGCTATTTCCAGGTTTCAAGACAGAACTCTGTTTAAGTATGCTGCAGTCTTTGGAGCTTTTTGCTCATGCAGCGTGAATATTGATGGAGCAGGATATTAAAAAAATCAGAGGCTCCATCTTTCACCCCATAAAAATCCCTGTGCAATTAGTGAGGAGCTAGTTGGCGATGAATCATTGACAAACGTGTCAAGTTTGTTCTGTGCCATGAGTATGTATTATGCCACTGTTGCCTGCCCAGCAGCACCCCAAGTCCTGAGGGAACAGAGAAAAAGATTTTTAAAAAATGAAAACCAGCCATGTTTGTGTCTTTCCAGCTGAGCACTGTGTCTTCCTGCATGTCCCCAGAGTCCCAAGCATGACATTATAATCTCACTCAAGCGAAAGTTCTCTGAAGCAGGAATCAAGTCATTCATTGTCGCACTACCTAAGTGCCCAGCAAAACCAGTGTTACTGAATGAATGAATGGAACATCAGAGCTGAAAAAACAAAATGCCTGTTCTCTCAGAGGGATTCCTGCTCAGGAGGGTGGAGGGCAGAGCTCTGTGGTGGTCATGGAAATTCACTGAGCTTCTATTCAGACTGACTGGCAGGCAGGCATGAGCTGAACCTGTTTCTTCCCCTGCAAAATGGGAATGTGGGTGTATCTCAGAGCAGATGAGCTGAGGGTGTGTGTGTGTGTGTGTGTGTGTGTAAATAGCAGGTGCGTAGAGCAGATCATAAGATCAGGGTAGAGGGCCCAGATACACCATAGACAGGCCACCTCCCATGCCTGCCAGGCTGGGTGCTGCGACCCTGCAGCCCTTCCTGACGCCTTCTCCCCTCAGGTGCCGTGCTACTCGTATGGGCAGAAGCTGTCCAAACTGGCCATCTTGAGGATCGCCTGTAACTACATCCTGTCCCTGGCGCGGCTGGCTGACCTTGACTACAGTGCCGACCACAGCAACCTCAGCTTCTCCGAGTGTGTGCAGCGCTGCACCCGCACCCTGCAGGCCGAGGGACGTGCCAAAAAGCGCAAGGTATGCGCCGGCCTTGTTGGGGTAGCCTCTGGGGAGCATGGGGGAGGCAGAGACAGGAACTTGGGGGTGCCCTGCATGTACCCAGAATTCTGAAGGGGCCAGAGAGATCAGCTCTTGGAGATTTGCTGGGAGTTACTTCAGCTTCAGGGGTCCTCAAATCCCTGGAATGATAGATGTGTCCCTACTCCTGATAACTGGCTGCTGGGTGACCTTGGACAATCACCCAGGGTCTCTGGGCCCAGGTTTGCTCCTCACTTAAATGAAGAGGACCATTGATCTCTAAAGCCCCTTCCTGACCTTAGGTGATCGGGTGCTGAATTCCCTGGTTGGCCCCCGATAAATGTCATAGCAGGACAAGATTCCCCTGAGCAGGGTGACAGCCCAGGAGAGTCCTTTGGCAGGTTTTGGGAGGGTGACTTGGCCTGTGGGTTATCTGAGGCTATGCATTAAGGAGGGTGATGGTCATTCATTCATTCAACCTGGAGAGATTGACGGAGCCCCAACCACGTGCCAAGCACACTGGGCAGAGGTATAAAGATGACAAACATATGGTCCCAGTCCCCATGCAGCTCACAAGATGGTCAGAGAGACCCTCCTATAAGTAGATGAGGGCAGGACCCCTGGGGAAGACCAGGTAGAAGGGAGACAGAGTCACCCTCCTGCCCACAGGAGTTTGAAATGGCATCTCAGTGTAAGTGGTGTTTGAGCTGGTGGGACCAGCAAGACAACCAGGTTACCAGGCAGATGAAAGAGGGAACAGCCTGTAAGAAGCCTGATGTGGTTGGGGAAATGTGTGCAGGAGGAAAGGTGTTGGGCGTAGATATAGGTCCCCAGATGGCCAAAGCTCCGGGCATTCCCAGCCAAGGGTCACTGCTGAGCAAGGCTTAGTGCAGCCCTCCGGATCTCCGTTCCCACATGGCTTGGGGGAGGGGAGCAACAGAGAGTGGGACCCAGTCTACGTCTGTGAGGCAAGATGCCTGGCCCGCCTAGAGGGCGAGGGTGAGGGCGGGACCCTGTCATCCTCCATCCATTCTTTACCCTGCCTCCTTCCTTCCTGGCCTGCCCCTCCCCCCATCCCTGATATTCCTCTCCAGACCCCTTTCAGTAGGCCCCTTGGTGGGTTCTCCGGGTTTCCCAGAGGTCGCCCACAGACTCCAGGCTCATGCCCGGGAGGGTCGTGGCACCTCCTCAGGGCTCCCCGCCGCCGCTGCCACGGTAACTGCACGTTGCATTCCTGGGAGTGCTTTAACTCGGACCAATTAGACAAAATCCTCATCAAGTGGGTGAGAGAGGAAGCGCCACTGGCGGCTCTGGGCGGCTTTCCTCTGGAAAGTGACACTGGTAAATTAGGGCGTGATTGATGGCTCCCGCAGTGCTCAGTGACAAAGGAGGTTTGTAAACTCTCGGTGAACTTCCCCTGGCATTCAGGCGGTCTGGAGGTGTGGATGGGCAGAGTGGGCAGGCGCCCCGTCTCCATCTCAGCCCCTCGCTGCCCTTCCCCCGCACCCTCCTCTTCACCCGGGGAAGGCAGAAGTGGTGTGGAGGCCCTTCCTTCCTGCCTTCCCAGGTTCCCTGATCGGAGCGGGGTCCTGGGGTGGGAGGAGGCTGGAAGCCTGGCTGGCGAGGAAAGAGGGACAAGTCGGGTGGAGAGGCCCGACAGAGCCAGCTGAGCTTCTGGCTCCCCCTGAAATCACCTCAAATCTAACACATCCTAGACACCCTCTGGGCCTGGTTCAGCCTCCCCATTGAGGAGAGTCGGGGTCTATACCTGAGCTATAGGTTGTGGTTAAGAGCATCGCACAGCCCTGGGTTCAAGTCCTGGCTCACCACCCGACAGGTGCGCCATCCTGCACCCTTTGCTTAGCCTCTTTCACCTCAGTTTTCTTGTTGATAAGTGGGGACAGTGGAAGTACTCACTCATGGGCCACTGTGAAGATGAGAGTCACTGCAGGAGAGTGAGGGTGGGGTCTGCATGGTTGCTGCCCTCAGGGCAATGAGACCTCAAAATGCTTGAGCTCTGAACCTGAGGCTCATCCCACCGGGTTGACTTGTGTGGTGAAATTGCCCTGGAGGGGGATTTTGGGGGTCAAGATGGAAGTTCCAGGGTAGGAATGTGTCTCTTTCCTCTCTACCCTCCCTCACTCCCTCCCTCCCTCACACCCGGCCTGGGCCTGAGGGCACTTCCTGCCTCCTGCCCTCGCCTTTCCCAGCTGGTGACCTCCTCCCCCAGCGGGACTCTGGGAGGTGGGGTCTGTATGTCTTTGCCCTAATGACCTTCATGGTCTCACAGACTCACATGATACTGATGGTGACACATTTCTCATATGAAACCACTCAGGAAGCCCTGGCTGGCCCTGCGTCTCCCCATGGGGGCCGGTGTTCCTAATTCCAGCCATTCCCCAACCAGCCCCTTCCATAGTTTTATCTGGACAACCAGGATTTGACCTGGCAGACTTTGCAAGTGTGGGCATCTCCAAGATTCCTCCCCAGCTTGGGACCCCTGGAGTGGCTGAAGCCCTTGAGCTCCCAGGTGCCCCTTTCAGGTGGGTCCCTGTGTCCCACCTCTGGGCACCGATGCTTTTGCTGCCATAATTGCTAGCTGTTACCCTCCCTCTGTCTGTCTGCCTGTCTGTCTCTCTGAGCAGTCTGGCTCATGCTGTCGCCCTCTTTCTATGCTCCGTTGGTGGGGATGTGTGGCCTCACACTGAAGCCCAGCATAGCTGGCCTTGGCTGGTCTTCTCAGCAGATGTCCTGCTCCAGGAGTGGACTCGTGTGGGCTGACACAGAGGGGGCCTGGAGCCCCGGAGCGGCCTTTCCCTGCCTCCTGGGGCCCCTTGTCCTTCCCTTTTGTCTGGGGGCTTGAGATGGCCTGAATGAGGAGCACATCTTTAGACATGTCCTGGCTTTTGAGTTGCATTTGGAACCACACCAGTTTTATTTTCTTCCTTTTGTGGTCTCCCAGCCTGGGCCTCTGAGGCCCCACCTCCATTTACAGATATTCTGTTTGAGGAACCAACCCCCAGGACAACTGAACCAACAAATTTTCTTTCCTCATGTGTGGGACTATTTCTATGAGAAGACTTGCGAAGGTCTAACAGCAGATTGCACCTGGTTAAGAGTTTTTGGGAAGAGGTGACTGACAGCACCGACTGCTCACAGCACTCAGTCCGGCCACACCACAGCCTGGCAGCCAGGCAGGGTCCAGGGGAAGCCCAGGAACTTACAGTAGGTGCTGGGAGGAAGAGCCCCTCTTCCCCACCCTCCACCCTCTTCAGCAGGTGTCCACCCCCCCATTGGACATGTGACCACTGCAGGGGTCCCCAAGCAAGAGATGGGAATCTCAAAGCACTCCTTGGTATTCCCATCCCCCTCCCCTCCCCACTTCTCCCTTCCCTTTTCCTTCCTACCCTCCCTCCCTCCCTCCCTCCCTTTTTATTCCTTCCTTCCTTCCTTCCTTCCTTCCTTCCTTCCTTCCTTCCTTCCCTCCCTCCCTCCTTCCTTCCATCCTTCCATCCATGAACAGCTATTAAGTACCCTCTATGTGCCAGGCACAGTGCAGGTACAAAATAATTTACCACCTTGTCACCACCATCAAGCAGCAACTGAACACTCCTTGGTCTAGAGGATTTGGGAACCAGGAGTGGTTAGGGTGAGAAAAAGGAAAAGCAAACCAAAGAACTTTTGCTCCTAACATAAGTCTCTAGCCATCAGTGGCCACCAGGAAGCTGTGGACTGTGGAGGGGACCCAGGAGGGCCGGGGATATTGCTCAGAGTCTTGCAGGGGCACAGGAGGGTGGGAGAGGGGTGAGAACTCGAGCCTTCCATCCACACCTGCTCTGCCTTGTCTGGGTCACAGGGTGGGTTCATGGGTTGGAGTCCCTACCACACAGGGAGGGTCTGGATTAGCACACAGTCCCTGGGCCACCACCCTGGGGCTTGCCTCTTGGCATCATCTTGGAGATGGCTCTGGGATAAGAGCGTGGGCCGTTTGTGTCTGAATGATGTCACGAGTGTGCAGTTTCTCTGTGGGGCCCTTCCACCTGACTTTAGGACACTGTCCCTCTTATGACCACTCGGGGCTGCTGGAGTCCCTTGCTGTTCCTCTCTGGAAAATGGGATGACCACCTCAGGGCTACTTGCTTCCCAGCCCTTTCTACCCAAAATGAGCCATGCTTGCCGTCCTGTGTGTCTGTGGCTGTGGAAGCCTGCCTGGTAACGGAGTTCCTGATGAGGTGCATGCTGGCCCACAGTCTCACAGTCGCCCTCCTGGAAACTCAGTTGCATGTTAACTGGGGTTTCAAGCCTTAGGACAGAGGAGCACCTGGTGATGGGCCAGTCAGGCAGGGCTGCAGGAGGCTGGGAGCAAAAGTGGGATCAAAGGCTGTGAGGCCGCGGGCAGATGCCTGCCCTAGCAGCTGCGATGGCCGTGGTCATTTGAACTGTCCCACGCAGGGACTGCTTCCTCAGAGCTAATGCGTCCAAAAGAGGCTGGTCAACCCTCCTTCAAGATGCCCACTTGGAAGTTTGAGCTCAGTGTCCTCTGAGGTCCCTCACACCCCAGTGAGCTGCCCTGTCACTCCAGGTGAGCGTTAATAAGGAGAGTTAGAGGGCTCTTGGCTCCCCCTCCGAGCCCAGGTTCATCCTTCCACCCATCTCAGCCCTTCTCGGCAGAAGGTGGGGGACCTGCATTCCTTGACCAGTGAATCTTCACCTTCTGGATCCCAGAGATCATGACTTCGAGGATTTGGAGCCCCATTTGGAAGCCCCAGTAGTAGTGCAGAGGCCCATGTCAGAGGCCACCCAGCAGAGAGAGGGGCAGGAGGCATGGAAGCACTCTGGGGAGTTCAGTTCTGACTCAGCTGCAGCCGGAGATAATGCACGTTAAGCACCTGGCTCCGGGCCATGTTTCCGCAGCTCCTGTTTTTAAAGCAGCAATTCCTGGGAGCTTCTGAGAAAGAGGAGGGGAAAGAGGAAGACGAGGAGGAGGCAGAACTGTTCTG